TATTGTCTTTTGTCTTTTTCATATATTGCAAAATATGTAGCAAGCCATTTATTGCCCTTAAATTATTTTTCAATTAAGCAAAAAAAAAAAAATGTATGTGTTTTGTGTGTGTGTATGTGGTCAGAGTAGTCTGAAGATGTTGCTCTCCATCCCTTAGATTTGAAGCATGGAAGAATTAGTTATCTTTAAAGAAACCCACATTAAAAATAAATTATTTTTATGGGAGCTAACCATCACTGAAGATCCAGAAGTTAACATTCACGGGGCTTCAGAGTGGTTTTGCAAAAGCAGTTCTGGATGCTAGGTGAAAATAGCTAGTTAAAATCAGAGCATTTGAAAATCAGCTAATATAGTCTGCTTTTAATCTCCTTCTTATAAAAATGCTGTCTTGTGTGCCTAAAGATATATTTCATTGCAAGCTCTAGAAAATTGGAAAAGGAGGAGGGGAAGAAGGGGAAAGGTGTGGGGCCCATATAGGGCAGGAGAAGCAGCTCCATGATGCTTCTGGAGAAGCTTTGTTTTTACGTTCCTTGTTGCCTGGTCTTTCCTTTCTCATGTCCACCCCCACCACCGTAGTTAAGAGGGTAGGTATCAGATATGACATGTTCCTAAAATATTATTAAACACAATTACATGTAAAATGTTCTTTAAATATACTGTTCTCCCATGTTGCTAGCAATACTTAAACACTGGTGATAGGAATTTAAGGAAAGTACATTTCAACATCAGGACCACCGTATGCTCCCTACTGAGCTGATTGCTTCAGGCTAATGTGGTGCTCCATTTGCTGGAATCCACACTCTTTCTATATTGATTTTATTATCAGTAGTAGTAATCACCGGCATCATTACCAGCCAATTACACAAACACTTCTAAGCTAGGTAGCCAACATTATCTCCTACTATCTGTCATTTTGTAACGAAGCTGATCATTCTCTTGGCCAATTAAGGGTAGCTACATATTTTGATCTAGCAAACTTAAATACAAGTATATTGAATTATGTAGTAGGTAATTACCTACATATGTTGGTAGTATGGCAGAATGAGGGTAATTTGGGTGTAATCTTCTTCGTATTCTCTTTGAAAACTGCATTAGAGAAGGTTAACTGCTTAAAAAAAATAGATCCCAGCATGTCTGTGGATCAAATAAAATGGTAGGGTCTTTTTGTTTTTGTTTTTGCTTTTTTTTTTTTCCTGGCAAGTGAATTTGCCATGCAATTCTTCAAGTTTCCAGGTGGATTATTTTACAAGTATAAAGTCATATTAACCCTGACAGTGACTTACATTGATATTCTGTTGTTAGAGCTTATCACATGGCTATGCCTTCCTATCAGGAAGACTGGGGACTACGGTCTCTTAAAGAAGAAAGAGACATCTCAGGTTTTGCTGCATGGTAGCAATTTCTGCCATTAGGCTTCAAAGGAGGAGTTGCTCTATTTCTGTATGTGATGTCTGCTTGCCTTGCCTACTGTTTGTTAGGTAGGATTTATCTAAGGCTAACCTTATTTTCCTTCCTCTGAAACAGAATGCCAGTTGTCTTTCAGTACCAAGATCCAAGTCCTGCCTCTTAGACTTACATTATTAGCAGCTGAAAAATAAATAGATGAACATTTTGGAAAACTTTTTCAAGTTTTCAAATTTGTAATAGTTTTTAACAGTTTACATTGTAGATATAATGGTTAAAATTAAAGTATTGGGGACTGGAGAGATGGCTCAGAGGTTAAGAGCACAGGCTGCTCTTCCAGAGGTCCTGACTTCAATTCCCAGCAACCACATAGTGCCTCACAACTATCCATGATGAGATCTGGTGCCCTCTTCTGGCATGCAGGTGTACATGCACACAGAACATTGTATACATAATAGATAAACCTAGAACCCCTGCTCAGACATAGCCCATGGCAGCTCAGTATCAAAGTGGGCTCCCTAGTAAGGGGAACAGGGACATGAACTCAATGGCTGGCTCTTTGACCTCCCCCCCACCCGAGGGAGGAGCAGCCTTGCTAGACCACAGAGGAGGACATTGCAGTCAGGCATGATGAGACCTGATACACTTGGGTCAGATGGAAGGTGAAGAGGACCTCCCCTATCAGTGGATTTGGAAAGGGGCAGGGAGGGGATGAGGGAGGGGAGAATGGGATTGGGATGGAATGAGGGAGGGGGCTACACCTGGGATACAAATTAAATGAACTGTAATTAATATAAAAAATAAAAATTTAATTAAAAAAGTAATTTAAAGTATTGATGTCAAAAATACTGTTTCTTAGTTTAAGTTTGTTAGAGAAAAATATAGGAATTATTTATCTAATTGTACGAGGGGCATTAATAGTAAAATTAGTTTTAAGCTCTTTCTCATTGCAGGTCTATTTCTACAACATCATCTTATTCATTTTTGATAGGAAATTATACTGTTCATAAAACACATCAGGTCTATGACATTTTCAGCTACATGTTCTTGGCTAGGTAAAAACAGTACCAGTCATAAATTCCCTCCTTCTGAGTGTACACATCCAACTAGACAAATGTGGATTACTGCCAAAGCTAAAACTACATCTACTGCACAATTGTGAATATTCTGCTAGCCCAGTCATTATTTTGGTTCTTAGAGTTTACAGCTGGGTGGTACTACTGACTACCTGTCTCCCTTGGAAACTTGCATGGCTGGTGCTGATACTGTGAGCACAGTATCTGCTGGGTCAATTCCAACTTGAATACTTTAAGTCCTGTGCTCAAAGCATATGTTGTCTCCAGCAATAGGCTCTTGCCTTCAAGTCCTAGAAGGAAAACAAGGAAGTGGCAATATCCTACATTGTGTGGGTAGATCCATGTATTCTTTTGACCAACAACAGGAGAAGTTTCTCTTGGAAGTGATATTTAATTTAAAGCATACAATGTTATTAAAAATTATGTTCTTCTTTAGTGGCAAACAACCCCATGAAAGCAAAATGTAGCTATTCCTGAAAGAGAATCCTAGCTGAAAAGCTGCTTATTAACCACTGTTGAAGTTAGTTTGATGTATAGAGAAATGTAAAATGTGAACAAGAGATGTTACAGATATATGTGTCCTAAGCAGTAGTTTCTGATAGAAAATTCTGAAATTAGGGTTAGTTACAGTATCGATGATGGATCATGTATCATAGCTAAATCAATATCTTTAGGATGACACACATTGTTTTAGTTCCTTTTGAGAAAAATTGAAGTGTTACACCATCTGTATTTTTCTATAGCCTAATTTTAGTATATAACATTAAGGACTAAATATTATGAAAAATGTACAAACAAAAGTGATAAATTTGCTTCCATCTTGACCATGTTTTATTTTGCACAAATTAAAAGATTTTATCTAAAAACAAACACCCCCCAAGAAATAAAATAAAACATAGAAAAACAAAAAACTGTGATCAGATGCAAAGATTGTACAATGGTTAGAGCACTTCCGGCTCTTCCATAGATCAAGGTTTAATACCCAGTACCCAAATGGTAGCTCACAACCGTCTGTAACACTAGTTCTAGGAAATCCAATGCCCTCTTCTGGGCTCTGTTGGCAGAAGGCACATATGTTGTGCACAGACATACCTGAAGGTAAAACACACACACATACACCCTAAAACAACAATAATATAATTTTTAAGAACATTGTAAAATTTAGGTATGAGAATGCATATGAAATTTGGTTGCTTCTACATTTATTTATTCAGTTATTTAATGTACTAAAATTCTGTATGTATGCAATTGTCCTAGTGTTCATCAGTGTCAGAAGGAGGCAAGCTTAACTGAGCTTCTTCTATAGCTCATTCATGTCATTCATGAGGTTTACATTTTCATGTTTTACGTAAGTGCCCCAACTCTGAGACCATCACGTTGCTAGTACCGAACATAAGAATTTGAGAAGACATCAGTATTCAGAGCATAGCAGTAATTAAGGCAAAAGAGAAATGTCTAGCAAAATACATGATGTTGTTAATACAGTTGAGATAATCGAGTTGAAGATCATCTCCTAATGTACTATTACATACACTGCTTCAATTTCGCATTTGTATGTGATCCTTGGGAGATTCAAGATATACCAGTCTTTCTGGTTTCTTTTTTTTTTTTTTAATAGAACCTCCTTAAAATACACATGAAATGTACTCCGATATCTTTCTAATGCTTCATTTCAGTATGTACTAGATGTTTTAATATTTGGGCTGTAGAGATAGCTCAATGGGGAAAGAGTTTGCAATGTAGGCTTGATGACCTGAGTTCTGACCCCAGCATCTTCCTTCCTCCTCCCTCAACTAAACGTCTTGATGCTGTGGCACACATCTGTATCCCAGAAAGCACCTCTGAGAGGAAAAAAGGACTCAGGGGCCAACTGACACAACATTTGCAGTAGTGAACAAAAGAGACCTGTTCTTAAACAAGGTAGAAGATAAGAGCTGATGCTCAAAGCTTTCTCCTGACCTCCACACATGCAGACATCTGCAGTAACACAGCACACTACAATATGTGCAAACACACATACTCACGACATCAAATTAAAAATGTTTATGTTGCTATATGACATATATATTTAAAACATAAATTGATAGTATAATTTAGTCATCATTTTAGGGAACAGTGTGAATTAAAAGACATTACATAGAACTTCAAGAACTCACAAGATAGTGATCAATTACTTTCAATTACTTGTTATTTCTGAAGAGTTTCTGTCAAGGAAATACCTATTGGCTCAGTTCAGATTCCATAGTTCTCTTCTTTACAAAAATACATTCTGATGTGCTTGTATTCTAGTAAAAACTTAACTCTCTGCCTCTGTATGTATTAGGTAGCTCTAGCATGCCAACACACACTATTTTTAAAAAAATAAATAATTTTATTTTTATATTGTTGAGTGTCCTCTCCTCAGACTATGAAGACTATCTTGCTTTCTGTCTTTTATTTGCATAAGTAAAATCTTCAGTTTTGCATTATTGTGTATCTTTTCTGCATCTGATTAACATTAACTTTCTTTTGACTGTGCAGGGCAGGCTATTTGCCTCAGAATATTCCCCTAGAGATCATCAGATACCTGTCTGAGGAAAAGGATTTTCTTCCTTGGCATGCTGCCAGCCGAGCTCTTTATCCTCTGGATAAATTACTGGACCGCATGGAGAACTACAATGTCTTCAATGTAAAAAAAATATATATATATAAATATATAATTTCTTCTTTCTAATTTTCAGAAGATAAACAATTTTCTCATTATGCACTCCATGAAACTGAGTCTAAATTATTTCATTTCCTCCTGCTACTGTAGGCTGTTATTTTTGTCCTGATTTTTTTTTATGCAATACCGATGGTAGTTATTTGAAAATAAGAAATTTAACACAAGCTACCTTTTATTCTGGCCTAAAAGTGTCAATTAAGCTTAAGTGCTTGAGAATTTAAGAAAGAATGTACATGGCAAATCCATAAACTTCAAACTTACTTCCTGAGAGTTAAAGGGCTCTGTGTTCACAAAGGACTTAACCTGAGTAGAGGGATCCCAGTAAAACTTAACAGAATATAGACAGTTTCAATAAAGATTCTTAGTCATTATTTTTATCCAAAAGGGCATGGTGAATTCAGTGCACCTCCTTAATTAACAAGGATAAGATCAACACTGAGGCCAAAGCCCATCCATAATTGGGTCCAAGGGGATATAGGGCAGCAAACAACGGATAATCCAAGCAGACACAGAGGCATGACACACATTCCAAAATGGTACCTGACCAGATTTTCTAAGCTCAAATCCCAGGAAGCCAAAATTGTTCTGCCAAGAGCACCTAATAGGATTCAATGATCATTTTGAATAATGTCAGGATTAAGTACAGATAATGAGCTTTTGATTATTTGATTTCTTATCACAGTTACTCTAGTGCACTGTAAGTTCTTCTTTAGGTATTTTAAGAACCCATGTTTTATGAAATGATCAAATGACTTATGACACAATACTCTGAAAATGAATATACACAATAGAAATTATTCAAAGATGGGTTGTCAGCGATTCTCTGTGTTAGTGGAGCCATCTAGGCTGACTGATGTTCATCAGAGTTGTCTTCTTTTTTCTTACTCCAAGGCTTCATGAAAGTGACTCTGTCAACTTGCTTTTTTAAAGTTAGAATAATCATGGCTTGTCTGTTCTTTGTTGTTAGTTTTGCATAAGCCCTTAGCAACAGAGATGCAAAGAAATGTGTCATTTGAATTAGGGGATAATGTTTATCTGCTAGAGAAAGTCTTATATTTCCCGTTCTCCCCATCAAAGAGATGCTGAGCTATGAAACTCCTAAAAAGGCAAAATACACTCTTGTGTACATTGTGCTTTTGAATAGTGTGTTATGTTAGATTCTTCACTTAAAGTAAAAGTTAAGTGATGTTCTTAACTATAATTTTAGCGCTTTCATTCCTTAGACAAAATTCTGATTACATTAAAGTAAGGGAGAACATATCTTAGGTTGACATTGATATTTAAATGCATCGTCAGTTGAACAGATTTTTGAATTTGTAGTACTATATCACTGTACGAAGTGCTATGTGCACCCTCTCTTCCATACTAGCCTATTGTGTGGGCCAGTAAAACAGCTTTGCATTGAATAACCTCTATTGATGCAAAATGCACAAATATTGGATGTTTTTGTAGAAGCGAGTGGACAAGAAGTTGAGAGTACTTGCTGCTCTTCATGAAAACCTGAGGTCAATTACCAGCACCTGTGTTGGGCAGCTCACACGCAATTATAACTCCAGCTACAGCAGATCTGAGGGCCCTTTCTACCCCCTGTAGGCGCCTGTACACATGCGGCATCTACTCACATTGGCACACATATGTATGCATAATCAAAAATAAAACCTTAAAATGTATATTCAAGGCCTATGTTCCTAAAATGAGTCTGTGTATGGATATATATATATATATATATATATATATATATATATATATATATATGCATGGATCTCACCCTGAATGGTCCCCATTTTCCTTACTTTATTAAAAATTTGTCGTGTAAAATATTTACCACTGCAAATTATTCAATTGGAAGGAAAAAATTACTGCCTTCTATGTCTGAAATAGTAAGTTGACTAAAAGTATTAAAATTACTCTGAATTATTCATATTTAGTTTTTAAATTACCAAATTTGAGAAGAGTGAAACTAATTTAATCTTGTTTTCTCTCACTCTCCATGTAGGAATATATTTTAAAACAAGTTGCAACAACATATATCAAGCTTGGATGGCCAAAAAATAACTTCAATGGATCTCTTGTTCAAGCATCCTATCAACATGAGTACTGTTTTATTTTATTGTTCTCCTTCTCTTTTCCCAGAGCTGGACAGTGGCACGCTTCTAGAGGCACTGTGACTTTAGCAGCATGAGACTGCCTTTGTCTCATTCTGCATTTTTCATTTCAGTTTCCTGGGAGGACTGCAGTTGAGAAAGACAGTTTTTGTTGCCTGATCATGAGACAAAGCAGTTCATGACAGTGTTTTAATTTAGGGTCTGCCTGCACTGTGATCTTGGGATCAGAACCTATGCCCTTGAGTAGAGAACTAGCTCCAGGAAAGACCTAGTGTACTTAACTCCCATTCTGCCTAATTCATTTCTTTACTCAGCATCATAGGATTGCTGTATATAAACCTTTTTGTGTTACATTTTTACTTATCTACCAAATTAGTTACTTTTCTCAATGCTATAACAAAATAACTGATAAAGGAAACAAAGATTTTCTTTTCTCATACAATACATTGTGATCATCATTTTTCTTCCCTCAACTCCTCCTAGATACACTACCCTTATGAACCCAACTTCACAATCTTTCTCTATCTCTAATAAGCAACAAACAAAAACAAACAAACAAACAAAAATGAAGCAGAAAATCCTAATAAGACAAAAAATAAATACACAAAACAACAAAATAAGTAGCCACAAAACATCAACAACAAATGGAATCAGTTTTATGATGGTCAACTACTCAGAGGCACAGAGTCTATCATGGAGTGCGGTTTACGTATGCAGTGACGATCATTCGAGAAAATTGATTTTCCCTTTCCTGGAGGCCTCAGTTGCAAAAGCTTTATTGTTGGCCTAAAACTTTGTCTTCACTTTCCCTTATCAGTGCTCAGATGTTGTCTCGCTTGATCCTGGGCAGGTCTTGTAAACATTGTCACAGTCTCTGTGAGTTCATCTGTGTATCAGTCCTGTTTAAATGAAGGGTTTATTTTGATCCTTGGTTTATGTGAGGATACATTCCATGTGACACAATGGAATGGTGGGAGAGTGAAGTGGATGACCAAATTATGTCCAGGAGGCAAAAAGAGATGTAGTTTGCTGCTCAGTTTGCCTTTTTCCCCTTTCCCTGATTAACGTTTAGATGTCTGCCTATGGAATGGTGGCATGTATGCTCATGATGGGTCAGGCTTCTTCAGCAAACTATCTCTGGAAACAAGAGATATATCAGAGATATGTCTCTATTGCTAACTCTAAATCCCCTGAAGATGACAATGGGGATTAACCATCATATCTGAGAGAGTGGTCTGCCTGTCTCTGTCTCTTCCATGAATATATCATCTATTTGTATCCAGCTACCTAGTCATCCATCTATCCATTCATCCAAAATAAATTTTCTTCAGATGGTAACCTTTCTCTAATTGTTTTCTCTTTGGCCATGTATAGGGAGCTGCGGAGAGAAGTGATCATGTTGGCTTGTAGCTTTGGGAACAAGCACTGCCACCAGCAGGCCTCAACACTTATTTCAGACTGGATTTCCAGCAACAGGAACAGGTAGGTTGGACCACACCCTGTAATGCTGATGGTATCCAAAGATGTTTCAGATCCAGTTGGATACATGCCTCTCATCAACTGGAGAAGAGCAAGACAAGAAAAATAGACAGTAGATCATTGTCTCAGCTTCACTTTCTGCAGTAAAGTACCAGCCTGGAAGCTACAACACATTAATCCTGAGAATGTTACCTCAGGTTTTAGGATCTATATCTTTGTCTAAGTCCTTATTCTTCACATACGGGAGGGCTCACCTTGTCTAGTAATTATTTTATAAGAAAGAAAACTAATTCAATTTAAAAATTTAAACTTTTTTTTTATAAAGGTTGAAGTGTTTATTCACAGTTACCAGTATATATTATCAACAAAGAAGCAGAACCAATGTTTATATGCAAAGCTAAAAACAAAAAGGTTATAAGCAAGACCTTTGCTCTTTGGGTGCCCCTTGACAATGACCTTAAACTTGTATGTTATCATAGAATTTTTTTGATGCATAATTTAAATACAAAGTAAAAAATTAGAATTAATAAAATGTTTTTAAGAAAACACTATTCTATAAATGCCATGTTTGAATGAATGTGATAAACATATCATATCATACCTATATATGTATTATAGTCTAATACACACATACACATCTTATAGACATAATGATGCTTCTTTGTATTTTCAGGAGTCTTAATTCTCATATATATATATATATATATATATATATATATATATGTTCAAATATACATATTTATATGTGTATGAACACACACATATATATGATTAGTTCCTGGCTTCTGTGATTAACTACAGAATTACGGTCTCTTATGAAGAAGAGAGGAGCTACCTGGAAATGTGCATAAAGGATGATGTTTTGTGAGGCACAAGAGGCTAAACTCTCATGTAGGGATGTCATGGTCATGGTAAAGATCTCACAAACATAGAACTGCCGGCATTATTACTTGCTCTGGGACCAAACTGATAATTGTCCTAGTAACAACTTCACATTTAAATTTAATATCTCACTAAGTGCAAATCAAAGAATAGCAAATCTGTTTAAAGCTAAGGTCTCTGAGAGAAATCTTTCACTGTCGTGTTTACTGGTTCTTTAACGTTTCTCTAACGGTGCCCCCTGCCCTTTAAATGAATTGTTTCTGGTCTTACGCTAGTTAAGGAGGAAAGTGCTTTATCACCATCAGCTGTCAATTGTCCCACCATGTGTTTAAGTTGATGATTAAATGTCATCTGTCTTTTCTAAACTGTCATGATTTTTATTAATTTTAACGACGTTAGTACTAATTGCCCTTGTGCTAAGTCTTCTGATAACTATTGTATTAGAATTGGACACATTATAAGAGCTCTTTTCCTGTTTTCACCACCTCCTTAGGTTATAACACATACAATTAGAACACAAAACCATTTATCCAAAATATAAGATGCAAAATTAGGACATGTGTCTTATATACACAAGACAAAAAAAAAAGAATGAACAATAATAATATTTACAAATTATAATCTCTATTACCTTATCCTTTATTTTTGCATTGGTTCCTATTCATTGAGTGATTGGTTATAAACACATACCCTTTCTTTGAGCTAATCATTGATTTTAATCTTTCAATTATCTTATTCATGTGAAGATATTTTTTCTACCATTTTATTAAAATTTATTTGATAACACTGTATTATCAAAATTTCCCAAGGAGCACTCAGGCTTACCATCCACATTTAAAAAGAATAATTATTGGAAAAAAAATCTTAATTTTAAAAATAATCATTTACCTGACAAACTCATTAAGCAATTTTTTGTATCAGCTGGTAGCTGGAAAGCAAACAGAAGAAGTGATCTCGAAATTAATAATGCATACTTCTATTAATAATATAATGTGACAGTGACAAAAATGGGAGCACAAGAGAAGGGGAGAACATGGCAAAGAAAGAAACTCCTGCTTGGAAGAAGCATTCTCTCTCCCCTGGAGGATGAGTGAGACTATGTTAGTTAGACTGGCCTGGACCAGGATTAGCAGCAGCTCTGTAGAGCAGAAGTATGGGATTCTGAAGGGCACACACAGGATACGGACTAGTTTAATAAACAGTCTTTTTTTTTTTTTAACCTACAAACTTTTGTGATCTATTATTTCCATAATTCCTTTATAAGTGAAACTTTATGCGTAAGTGGTCAGCTTATCTTGGTTTTGATAGTTCTGTCTTTATTCATGGTAAAAATGATTATGGTGGAGACAAAATTTTTATGATCCTTTTGTTGGTTTCTTCATTGCTTTTATGATCTGTGCTTTGCTCTCTTTCATCTTGAGGCGTGAAGATTTGCTAAGTAGGACTTACTCTGTTTACTAAGATTTGCTTAACCAGCTGTGTGGTATGCCCACTCGTGATCTACTGAAGCAGGGGTACATGATATACCCTGAGCTACTACATGTGAAAGTTAGGGGGTTTATCTCAGTTATTCGCATAGAATCTTTTTTATTTTTTTATTTTTTTTTTGAATTTTATTTTTTTCTTATCAGTTACATTTTATTAACTCTGTAATCCAGCCGTGTCCCGATCCCTCATTCCCTCCCAGTCCCTCCCTCCCTCCCTCATCTCCACCATGCCCCTTTCGAAGGCCACTGATAGGGGGGACCTCCTCCCCATTCATCTGATCCTGTTTTATCAGGTATCTTCAGGACTAGTTGCAAAGCCCTCCTCTGTGGCCTAACAGGACTGCTCCTCCCTTGGTGGGTGGGGAGGCCAAAGAGCCAGTCATTGAGTTCCTGTTAGAAATAGTCCTTGTTCCCCTCACTATGGGAAACCAATTGGTTACTGAGCTACCACAGGTTACATCTGAGCAGAGGTTCTAGGTTATATCCATACATGGTCCTTGGTTGAATGTCAGTCTCAGAAAAGACCCTGTGCCCAGATATATTTGGTCCTTGTGGAGCTCCTATCCTTTCCCCATCAGACTAACTCCCCTTCTTTCTTATGATTCCCTGTACTCTGCCAAAGGTTTGGTCATGAGTCTTTCATAGAATCTTAATAGTAGAACACCACAAAGGATAGTTAATAGCTGGTGATAGATTTAACTTTTTTTTTTTTTTGCAACCTAATATTTTTATTGATTGTTTGGGAATGTCACACAATGCACGCCAATTACACTCACTTCCCAGGCCTCCCAGGTCTACCTGCCACCCTTGTGACCACCTCACCCATGTTCCCCCTCCCCCCCCAAAAAAAAACAATTCCAATTTGTGTTGCTTATATACTCACTCTCCCATTGGTCAGCCCATTAGAGAAAGCTGAGTCCTTCTCTACCTTCACCTCTCCACCAGAAGCCATCAGTTGTAGAGAGTGACACTTCAGCATCTTTATCACAATTTTTGAGAGTTCTTGATGGCTTCCTACCTAGGCTGTTATGTTTTGGGTGGTAGGGTGGGGAGTGGGAGTAGTGGTTGTCACTAAAAATACAAGTTTAACTTCCTTAAATTAACAAGAAAGGAAAGAGCAGGCTTGCCTTGCTCTGTCAACTTTCTTTTTCCACCTAGTTTTGATTGTTTAACTGGAACTTTAAAAAGAGGAATTTATAAGAAATTATCTAAGTGAAGAGCACAGAAAACCACACACACAAAAAAAAAAAAACCCATGTGAAACATTTTGAAAGATGTGTATTTATTCTGAAAACACAAAGAGCAATGAATCAAGAAGTAGTGAGGTTCACAGAACTCAGGGGATGCCGCAGAGCTGTTCCAGCATCTTGACACATTGGGCAGATGGGCAAATCAGAGACATTAGAACCAGAAAAATGGAACAGATGTGAATGTCAGTGCAAGGAGGGATAATGGAAACAAAAAGTGCAGTGAATAGCTCGAGATGATGGCAGCAGAGAGAAAAATTCAGGAGTTACAGTGGGTGATAAATTGAATGAGTCGACATTCTGATCCCTTTTAAAATATTCAAATGCTACAATGTGTTGAATTGTAATGGTGATGTCATGCATAAAAATGGATTGAGCTACATTCAGGTCTTGTTAGGTTGCAATTTGCAGGCTAAGTTCTGCCTCGTGCCACAGTTCAGAAAGGAGACAAATTGCTAAGCCTTCAGTAGAGAACAATACCAGTGATAAAAAAGATCTTGAAAAATATGAACTAGGAGAAAGGTTATGAGAGCTGGAAATCTTACTCCTAAAAATAAAAGAAAGAAAAAAAAATAGGAAAAACCAGTCTTTTTGTTTTAAAGTTAATATATAAAAAGCATAAACTGAAGATAGAAAGTAGCTTTTTTCATCTGCTGATAAATATATGAAGTAGAAGTTTCATCAAGACGAGTAGAAAGTATAACCAGCTACTTTAGATTAATTTTTACTTGAAAGTCTTTGTACTGGCATTCAGTGGTGTTTATTCCATTGGCTACATAAGGATCGTAACTTTTTCTCAACAATAAATTTAAACTGAAATTACATGTGTGTCCACAATAACGTATTATTTTTTCAAATAGCATTAGAGGGCACAACAGAAGCTTTAATCTCATACTGAGTGTGATGGTGGTTGTCATCAATATTGTTGGACTACACAGCCCATATGACAAAAGCCAGTCTAGTAAATTTCCTCCTTAATACATATTCCCTGTGATGTCTCTTTTCCTGTAAAGAACCCTGAGAAATTCACAAATTAACTTCATATGCAAGATTCACTCAGTAGATAACAGTAGCTAGAGACTGGCATCTTTATTGGGGAAATAGCTCAGCTGATAGAGGACTGTCCAGGCACATGAATTCTATTCGTTGGACCTGTGGGTGAAAGCATGTTTCTATCATCCCAGCACTGGATATGCAGTGACAGGTGATTCCTTGGAACTTGCTGGTCAACCAGCCTAGAATATTTGGTGAGCTTCAGGCTAAGTAAGAAACCCTGTCCCAAAAATCAAGAGTGGGAAGTTCCTGAATAACAACACCTCATGTCATTCTCTGGCTTACACACATACACACGGATCTATACACACATGCATCCAAAAATGTGCTCACA